TATATATATATATATCAAATTATTTCAGTCTAGTTACACTCAGTTGTTTGCTGTGACGGTTTCTTCTTGTTTGTTGTTTACAAAAGGCTTATGCTCCAAATATTACAAGACAAGTTTTGATAAATACTCTGCTGGAGTTTTACCTGCACTTCTCCTGTCTGGCTCATCCTGTTATGTTTGATCATCTCCTGTTTGATAACATTTAGTCAGAATAATTAAAAGGCTGAGCCTTCATTTGTTTAGGTAACATTTTGCCAAAGTCATCTTATGGTGTGCTTAATAGATTTTCATCAACAAAAAACGAAGGTAGACATTTATGTGTGTTTGTGTGTACGKCACGAACCACCAAACAACACTAAAATTACTACAAGTCAGTCAGTTTCACCGATATTGTGTTAAAATTGTATCATTTTTAATTATTATCAGTTTTTAATTAATGTATTAATTCATTCATTCATTAACAAAACCATCTATAAAATAAAAACAAAACACAAGTCATAAATGAAATGAAAGGAAACAGAAAGAAGAAAAAAAATCATACGTTTGCCCCCCTTTTTGTAAAAAAAAATCTGGTTTGGAAGTACTACTGTGGCTACAACTGTAGCCTTAATTTTGGTGTCAGCCGTTTGATTTCAGTGAAACTTGTAATCACTGCATCTACAGCTACAACATAACTTTTGAAGTCTGTCTAATTGAATATGGATTAATTAACAACATCACAAAAATGTCTACAACAGCTCAATAATTTAGATATTGAGCCACACTTTGATGTAGTATTAACTGACAGTAGATCACAAACACTTACATTGTATGAAATCTCACAATATGGCAGAGATTGTATTTGTACTGAACATTATTTTTGGGGTTTGATCAAAACAGCTAAAATTCTGGCCGGAAAGATGGTGGGCAGTAAACATTCCTATAGGAAACAATAGGTCTTTTATTAGTAAATGTGTTTTTCAGCACAATTAATYTTAAGTTAAAGTATTCTAACCTTTATCTGTTTTAGTGGTTGCTCTGTGACATTAAAATAGTATATAATCATGTTAGTGTTGATGTAAAGGGAGGAAAATAGCACCAAAACTTGTTTATTTAATGTATACAAATATTTGATATTTGCAGCTAATATTACTTGTGCRTTCTCTCTTGGACCATTGGAAACTTGTGAACGGTGTGTGTGACACAAAAGACAAAAGTGCTGCAGGCTGCGCAAGGAGAAACATAGGAATGCTGTTGGTGTTTGACATTCCTCCCTGTGTTGTGTCCCTCCCTCTTTCTCTCTTAAACACACACACACACACACACACACACACACACACACACACACACACACNCACACACACACACACACACACACACACACACACACACACACACACACACACACACACACACACACACTCATTTGCTGTGAATGTAATTATTTTCTCGTATCTGTTATTATTTTAACCATAACATTTTTTGTATTCATTTTTGCACTCTGTTGCCTCACTTACACCCAATTAGTGGGTAAAAGACACAAGTTCATAGGAACTGCAAAGATTTTTAAAATACCATCATTGATTCTTGATAACCTTTCTAAATGTCTACACAGATTTCAGTGCTAACATACGATATGTTTTTTTATGTATTTATTTTTGAAAAAAGTTGAGGCAGACATGCCTAAAATCTTAAACAATGAGCCTTGAARTTGCACATATTTATTGGTAGGGAAGTGCTTGTGTCCTGCATAGTGTTCCTTAAAATTGCGAAACACAAACAGCATCAGGTAGGGATGCTGCACAGTTTGTGTTGGAATATGTTTTTTAAAGAAACGTAATTGCTTCATTGATTCTAATTTTGTGTTGCTAAAACTGCACAACATAAGGTGGAACAGTATACATGTTCTACAAATCAAGATTCAAGTAATTAATTACCAAATTTATTGAMATAAAATTTGAATAACCCAAATAAAAATTAAGCTCAAAACTAAAAAAGGAAAAGAAAATGTGGTTCATGAATAAGAAGTAAGCCCCTAACAACTGATGGCATTTAATTTTTTAGGCATTTTACTTCATCGAACAATCTACTTTCTGTCTATAAATAATTGTTTTTGCWTATAAACTCTGCAGTCATGAAATTTCCTAGAATTTTATTTCAGAAGGGAGGTTTGTGAGAAAGCAAATGTCTGCATTGTTTGGTTCAACTTCTTTTGCCTTGGGGTTTCTCAGTCAGATAACTAGTGAGGTGACGTGAATTTAGCAGATAATCTTATAGATTACATGTGGGTGAGTGAGGGTGAGAACAAGTTTAATAAAGTCACGTTTGAGACGTTTAACCCTCTCTAATGTTGTTCCTTCCTTCATGTTTCCAGTCATGCATTTGTGGATGCCTGTTTTGAATGTGTTGCAGAGAGTCGTGAGAAAAATGTTCTGAAATAGATAGAAGAACACAAGTTCACAAGCATTACATTTTAAAGATCACACTCGTGGACAATTGCCTTTGATTTCAACATAATAAAAAAAAAAACTCATATAGACACATATAATGCTTTGTAAAAGACAGTATCAGTCAATAAGAGTCAGACCTGTAAAAACATGTTTATTGATTTTACAAATGAAAGCCATATTTGTGAAAAGGTATCAGAAGATAAAAACTAGAGCACTGGTAAGCAGCTTGACTTGGAAGTAGGTCTACAGTGTTCTCATTGTTGGCTAAGCATACAGGTCATTGTTGTGCCACACGACTTAGTGCCACTCGTTTGGTGTGGGCATGTGTGCATATTTTTGCCCAGTGCAAACGGCAGGCGAGCTGTGTGTGTTTATCTGTTTGTGTGCTTTGTATTGTGGATWCAAATTGACAAAGGCCAACAGTTGTGCCACCCATGGTTTACTTGTGTCTGAAACAAGCTGTGAAATGTGATTTATCCACAACCAGGCTTCATCCTCTGCTCCTGAAGACAAAGATTTTCATTGACCAGCCCACAAAACTGCATTAATTTCTGACCTACAGCTCGGACCACTTCCCTCTGATTGTTACTTTAATCCTGGTAGAAATCTCTTCTCTGCAATGTGCAACACCGTCCAATCATGTTCGTTCTGATACATATTTCTTCCTCTGCTCTGCACCTCCATTTAGACAGGTTTGATGTTGCTTTAGTTTGCTACTTTAAAAGTTGCATAAGCTTTTGCATTGGTACTTTGATGTGCAAATATGCAGTAGCCTTAGGGCATGTGGGGCAAATAGATGACATGCAAATGTTTTTCTACAGAATTACTATAATTTGTAAATATTTGTAGAAAATATAAATATCAATGAGCTAAACCCATTAATTCAATAGATAAATTATGCAAACTTTGAGTAGATGTATCTTATTCACAATAAAACGATAATTGAGTCACTTCATGCCCATCTAGTTTGTTTAAGACATACATGGTACTACTGTAACCAAAGAATAATACGTTGACATGGCAAAATGTCCTCGTCTTTCACCATGAAACAGATGTGCTGCTGCCAAGTTGTAATATTTAACTTTTAACATAAGAAGTTCTAAACAGATGACATTACTTAGTTACAGTTTGTTGGACGGACAGTGAAAGTGTGAATGAGCTTCTGATCAGAGGTTAGAAGATAAAGTTAGCTCTGCGAGAGGAGCCTAGGAGTGAGAAGGTGTGTTCTAATTTATTGATTATATCAGAATTTTTGAATT